ACTCCTTCATCAATCATCCACACATTCGTCATCCACTCATTCATCCATCATCACTCAATCATCCACTAATTCATCATCCACTTATTCATCAATCATCCACTAATCCATCATCCACTCATTAATCATTCATCCACTTATTCATCATCCACTCATTCATCTATCAACTATCCTCTACTCATTCATACATCATCCAGTCATTTATTTATCCATCAACCATCATTCACTTATTTATTCATGTATCATCCACTCAACCATCTTTTACTCATTTATTCAACCATCATCCACTAATTTATTCATCCATTCATCAAACAACGATCATCCACTTATCCATTCATCCATCATTCACTCATTTATTCATACATCATACACTATTTATTCATTCTTTTAACCATTCAACTCATTTCTTCATCAACATCCACTCATTTATTCATCCATTATTGATATTCTATTCTAGGCTATTTTATGCTATAATTGTTATATTATTCTTTTCTATATATTCTATGCTAATTTATGCTATCCTTGCTAATTTCTTCTATTTTATGCTTGTTTATACTATTTTATGTAATTAATGATATTCTATCTATTCTAGGTTATTCTATGCTATTTTATTCCTTTCTTTATATTCATATGCTATTAATTCTATTTTATTATATTCTATGCTATTTTATGGTATTCTATGCTAATCTATGCTCTTTGCCATTTTTTTCCTTACTCTATATTCTATGCAATTCTCTTATATTAGTGCTATTTTATTCTGTAATGCTATTTTATGCTTTCCTGTGCTATCCTTGCCATTTTATGCTTGTTTATTCTTTTTTATGCTATTAATGCTATTCTATTCTATTTTATCTATTCTAGGTAATTTTATGCTATTCTTCCCATTTTATTCTTTTTATTCTATTATATGCTGTTTTATACTATTTTATTCCTTCCTTTATATTCTAGTCAAATTATCCTATTCTATTTTATGCAATTAATGTTATTTTATGTTATTTTTATGCTATCATTGAAATTTTATTTATTACTATATATTCTATGCAATTTTATTCTATTCTATGCAATTCTTTTTATTCTATTATTTGCTATTTTATGCTATTTTATTCCTTTCTTTATATTCTGCACTATTCTTTGATATTAATGCGATTCTATTCTATTCTATGCTATTCTAAGCTAT